CCAAAATTACAGTGGACAGCTATTAATAAGCCATTTTCCTGTGTATACAGGTGGCTTTATGTTGTAAATGGCCACTTAAGTGGACCAAGCTTCCAATAAAAAAGAAAAAAAATGTCCAAAATAATATACTGTTAAAGATGAGCTCAGGTGGGGTTTGTACGAAAAAAAGAATGAGAAAACTGTTAATATTAGAATTGGAAAAAAACAATAAAATAAAATAAAAATATTAGAATAGGATTAGAGTTGCATGCAACTGGAAGAATCCAGGAATAAACGCAATTTCTGACAGAAAATTCTTTAAAAATCTCTTTTTTTTAAGGCCTTAAAGCACTTTGAAAAAAAACGGATCGCAGTTCATGCATGAAAGGGTTCAAACAGTGGCGAATAGTTTCTTTGTCACATCGACAGAAGCCAACCCCCCCCCCCCCCCCACATAGACGTGGGGTTTATTGCAATCTGTCCCCTCGGTCACACCTCCGATTGCTGCTAGGATATAACGAGGTTAGAAAAGCGAGGAGGGATATTTTGGCGGCCGTTTTGACTCGGAATGGCTCCCCTCACCCGGATATCCTCCGGGTCCAAGCTGTGCTCGCTCCAGGCAGAGGTGATGCTGCTGTTGAGGTAGGAGCCAGATCTGCCCATGTCCAGCTCCTCCTCGTAGGCCTCGGTGGCGATATCGTCCCTGGCCTGGGTGCCTTTGGACAGGAACTGGAACAGATGGGAGGAGGAGATGTTTGAGCAACAGTCACATCGCCTACAGGAACATGGAAGCAGAAGTAGAGCGCAAAATGGATTTCACTCTTTATTTTTGTATACTCTATCGGGAGAATATATTGGCCTAATGTGAGTTTTCTTGCAGGAAAGCTGCAAGTCAGATTCGTACAGTTCACTTAATATGTTATTGATTGTTGCCATCAATAATCTCAACTCCATTAAGTTTACTCCCATATTAAATTCGAGTTGTTTTGTTCCTCTTTTTCTAAAATATCAATGTCCACCTGTTGGATTGCTGGAGGTCAGGAACAACAGCAAGAAGTTAAAGTTTTCCCAAACTAAAATAAGTTTAGAAATGCAAGTTTCTGATAAGGATGATGGCCTTCTTTTTTTAAATCTATTTAATTCCATGTAGCCATGCACATTAAATTAAACACGTTCAAATGTTTGCATTTGGGCGCTCGCAGGCTCCACCTTCCTGCCTGGATTCCATAGAACAAAGATCAACAGGTGAAATAAGTCTGGATGATAACTACAACGGAGGTAGTTGTCAGAGGAGCAGATGCTGTAAGAATTAAACACCCTCCTGTTGTGCTTAATTACCCCGGTGTGCTCCAGTATCTTGTACTTCTAAGGAGCCAAATTAAGAAAGAATGAAAGAACAGAGAGTTGATGATTCATCACACTTCTCCCGCAGCTGCGGAATGCTTAACGAAACTATGATAACTACTTATAGCCCTACCGAATTCATTATGACGATAGCTAATGATCCTCTGAACATCCAATGATGATTAATATAAACTGTTGTTTACATAAAAGTTACTGAACTATAGAAGTCACTATGGGCTTCTTCTATGTGCCTCATTGAATTTAAATTTAAGGGAGGTCCAGCAGCTCCTTTTAGGCAATAACATTCATTTTGCACTTAGTTCGTTTTCTGCAGTTAAGCCTTTGGCATATCGGACATGCATATGCACCTCCCATCTCTGTCCGTGCACGTTTTACTTTCAAGGTGCTCTGCTGAATGGGAGAGAGAGAAAAAAAGGAGGAAAAATAACAAGCATTTCAGTGCCTTTCTACTGCGCTGTACGTCTTGAGCTATACAAGCCTATCTGACCCACAATAAAAAACAGAGGTTACTCGGCAGAGTGAAAAGGATGCCGCTTTGAAAATACTCCTCGCACAATGTTGATGAGTCATCCTACACGGCCGCTGCATCCAACTTAATTCATTTACGGAAGAGAAGATCATATTTTCCTTGCTAGCTCGAAAAACGAAAAAGCACAAGGCCTGTTTTTAGCCCCATACATGACAGAATGAGTTGTTTTTTATCCGCAAATTAAAGTGAGTCACTGTTTAAGGTCCATCCAGTTATTTTCTCCTCTATGCGTCTGGAATTTACACTTCAGATGACGTGAGAAGCTGGAACGCCATTTCTCTTGACTTTTGCTTCGCCCTGAACACCAAATCTCGTAATTAATTGTACAGATTAAGGTTAGCATGGTATTTTTTCAAATGGCTTTGGCCTGAGCTCCAGGACCACAGAGTGAGAGATACACCTGCATTTGATCCATCTACTTTCCACCGAGGCTTCAGATATGGAGAGGAGGCTGGAATCGAGCCACTTTTGACCAACGGAAATGGGAGAAAACACAAGAAGTGGACTCACTTTTAAGAGTTACTGTAACAGACAAAACTCCAACTCTACCTTTGGAATGAGCAGCAGGCCCAGAGTCACGGTCACCGTCAGGTGAGTGTGAGCAAAGAACAACATGAGCATCCAGTCGGGGTGCAGTCCCGGCGCCAGAGAGAACCTGCAGGAGGATATCAGGATGAGAAAAGGCGGGGAGAAATCTGTGAAATGTGCTCAGCCTAAGACAATTGCAGATGGTTAAAGAAAGCCTTCGGGGACTTTTCTGGGCTCCAGGCCGAGGATCTCTGTGACAGGATCAGCTCAAAGGAAAGAATACTGGAACACGGCTACCAAAAAGGGAGCACGCTAAGTGAACTAAAACAGTGTTTTTCAACCACTGTGCCTCGGTACACTAGTGTGCCGCGAGTGATGGTCAGGTGTGCCGTAGAAAATCATCCTATTTCACCTAATTGGTCTAAAAAGATTTTTTGATAAGGAATTAATTATCTGCAAATATCATTGCCATTTTTGAGTGTCTGTGCTGTAGTAGTGACTGGTGGCGTATTCATGTAATAATTATAATTTGTATATAATTTTGAATATTGAAGTGAACATGTTAAGTGCAATTTGAAAGAAGAAATATAAAATATGATTAAAAAAAAACATTTTTTTGTTTATTTGATTCCTATTCAAGACACTTAAGATAAGAATAAGATAAGAATAATTATAGTGTAACTATAGGCGGGTACAGATTTGTTTGACATTTTTGGTTGGTGGTGTGCCTCGTGATTTTTTCTATGAAAAAATGTACCTTGGCTCAAAAAACGTTGAAAAACACTGAACTAAAATATATTTTAACGCGAGGAATAGCGTGAGTGGCCTTTGAACACTCCGTCAAATCCATCGGATTTCGATGGAACCTTTCTTTATGCAGCGGCAGCCGTTCCACCAATGGACGGAATGCCACGTCAAATCTCATTCACACTGCAGATCTGAAAAAGATTCCCTGCCGGCCACACGTTTCGGTCACCCTTCCGGTCATCTAAATGACTGCATGTTCCCTACTGGACTCAGTAGAAGAGACTGACACAGTCTGAATGAAAGCAAGCCTAAAAAAAACTTTTAAAAACCAGCTAAATATATTTAAATGTAGTCTTCATGGTTTGTTTTGAGAGGCTGGGTTTGGCCAGGCTTAGATGTATTACTCAGAGTGATTATGGGAGATTTCTAGGATGCAGCAAGTCCTCGTTTCCATTTAAAATGATGATTCACTGACAGAGCCGCTATTATCCTCGTCGGCAGTTATGTGATTCAGGTCACTGTAGCTAATCTTTGTCTGCTCTGATTTTCTCTTTTGAGCTCAATTTGGTCAGTTGTCGTGGCGCGAAAAAAAGAAGAAAAAAAACACAGTTTGAGGACAATAACCTGTTTTTATGTGAGCACAGACAGAGACGTCTGAGATGTGACTGCTGCCGACAAAACCCAAGGTCTCATTTAGCCCGACATGTGGGGATTCTAACAAAAGCAGGACTAAAAGGCTCGTGTGAGAGACTTCAGTCATCCATCCATCCATTATTGTTACCGCTTATTCCCTAATGGGGTCGCGGGGAGAACTGGAGCCCATCCCAGTGGTCAATGGGCGAGAGGCGGGGTCCTGGACAGTCCGCCAGTCCATCATTATTTTAGTCCCATTAAAACCTTTCTTTTAAAAACACAGTTCGTGTAAATTTCCATCTAAATTTCTCAGTCGGACCAGGATGCACAGAATCCAACCCAGAAGTCGGGTCTTTTTACCAGTAACATTTATCAGAGTTCTTTCGGGGGATAAAGCTTTTTTTCCTGAAAAGAGGGACTCCGTTTATGCTGTCACAATAATGCTCATACAGTTCACTGTAACTATGAGCCAAATGCTTTGGTTAATGATATTCCTAGCAGACAGTGGCGAGAGCAGCAATCACTTTATTAAAAAACAATTTTTTTTTACATAGATCCACTTCTTTGAGGAGAATGTGAAACACTGAAGTCTAACAAGGGTATCTCACAAGTAGCTGAATCCCACCCCAAATTCCCCAATTCACCCCAAAAAATCAAAGCCAGACACTTGGACGGACGAATCATTTGGGCCACATTAGTCTCTGTAATGCTTGTTTTAGGATATTTTGTTTAATTCCTAAATCAAAATGACGTCTTTTAAAGGTGGCCAACTAATGTGGCTCGTTTGGCATAAATGTCATTGTTAATTAACATGAGGATTCACGTCGTAATCCATAATAATGAAACGTTTTCAGCCACTCTGATCCCGTTTTATCTACCAACTGCAGCAGCGCACTGGCTTTGTCGGCTAACCAGGTAAAATACTCCAAAGCTCGCACTGTGTTACCGAATTTCCCCGCAGATGAAGATCATTTATTATGGTCACACCTCAGTCGGAGGTTTTTTTTGGGATCGCTCAAAAGGCTAAAAGGATTTAACCTTTTCTCGTTGTTCCACTGAGCCCGATAGATTGATGCCTAAATCAGAGAATATTCAATCAGGAACGGTTTTATTGGAAAATGTGAGACTAATGAATTTCTCTGCCCAGAGCGACTGCAGGCACTTTTACAAATCCCCGGCCTAGTTTTATCCCAGCTGCTGCCGGACCGCAGAGACATTGATTACGATTGACAAAGCACCCATATTACAACTTTTGGGACTTTGCGATCAATGCCGTTACTTTTTACTTAAGCTAGTCGTAAAACCCTCATATAAAACCACAGGCATATAAACCCACGCGTCTGCAGACGATCCCCCGGGACATTTTCACGGTGTTTGTCTTTATTTCTATTTCAGTAGGATTTACAAAACAATGTCCACGCGGCATACCCCCCGAAAAAAGCAATTCATGCCTTATACCACTCTGTTTCCAGTCCATCACTCAGCTCAATGCAGAGGACTGATATGAAAAAACTGCCCCAGGCATTAAAAAAAAAACTGCAACCAAGTGAAAAGAATGTTTTTTCAAATATTATTTTCCGCCTGGTCTGAAAGTAAGACAGTAGCTTTGTCGGTCTGTGAAAAGAGTAGGCAGAGGAGAAAAAGGCGGGGAGACCTTAAGCTAAGGTTTCTAGAGTCAGAGCCTAATTGAGTCACGGATTTGGGGTTTTACCTAACATAAGAATCCCTTCAATTTCTCTACCTGCGTCAGTCAGTTCAGGGTCATTATTTACCGGAGCACCGCCCATGGCAAGAAACAGGGCACGCTGTTCACAGGTTATTAGTCCACCTCATGGCCAGAAAACGTAAACGACCACACAGGCTCAAGCTAATATCTGCAGCATGTTGATACAACCTGCATATCGTTGGTCAATAATTCTACAACCGTGTGATAGACAGGTTTCTATGGAAAATTTCTCAGAAAAGAAACTAAGTTTTGATTGTTTATACCCTTGAAAACCTACGGTTGCTGAGAAGTGCAAAACACATTTACAATTTAAAAAACACCTTATGATTTTAAAAAGCTGAATAAAATTTTAGGATACACATTTAAAGTTCAGAAAACACATTTACGAATTTAAAAAAACATAACATTTTAAGAAACAATTTTTCAAAAATGTTTGTTTCCTAAAAAATGAATTTGTTTCTTAAAATGCTATATTGTTTTTTCACCGATTTGGGAATAAGCAGTTCACAAAATGGATGGATGTGTTTCTTTAATTGTGAATGTGTACCTTACAACGTTATTTTGTTTTTTAATTTTTCAACGTTTTCTTTCTTTTATTGTAAATGTGTTTTGCACTTCTCAAACCAATGAAAAGACGGAGTGAATGGTGTACTCGCACAAAATGGAGCTCTCCAAGTTCGAAACCCTCTGGAGCTGGAGCATCCAGGAAGAAGCCACGCGTGCACACAAAAACAATACCAGCTCCACACAGACATGCTCAGGCTGAAATTTGAACTGCAAAACACTCTGAGACAGCATTTGTAACCGACTGGTTATCCAACTGGCACACCGCTGACTAACCACAACCCCATTAGAAATAATTACACGAATAAAGCGACGATAGAAGGCTCAGTGTTGGAACCAAACAAATGACCCCGTTCATTTTCGCCGTTAAACTTTCAAAACTTCTGGCTTGACGCTAACTCAATTAAAAAAGGGGGCATCAAATCAAATAGCTGCTCTCCACCTCTGTGAGACACAGACAAGCAGAGACAGACAAAAACGCAGCGTGGCAGAGGGGATTTATTCTGGGCTCTGGCACAGTGTGTCTCGGCTGTGTGTCTGCCTGAGGAAGACTTTCTTTTTTTTTCTCCACCTCCTCTAACAGGCTTCCCAACGCGCTCTGCTGACACTCTTCGTTTCCCTGATGAGGAGGACTGGGTAAATTCTCAGTTTTTTCTCCTGACCTGTTGTGCAATCGCACAACGCATCATTTTATTTTACCAACAGATCATAACCAGTAGGCCCTTGCCCTTGATTCTATTATTTTCTTTAATTATTGCTACTTAGATTTCACCAAGTATGACTTAGATTGTGTGCCCGGAGTCCCATCTCATTGTTTTCTTCTCTTTTTAGTATAAATACTTGCAACATTTATCCAAATTCCTGTCCTCTGGCTTGCCGTTTTTTCTCCACCCACCTGATGATGTGGAAGATGGCCGATATGAGGAGCTCGTTGTAGATGGCCACGGCGATGTAGCGCGGCTCGTGGAAAGCCGAGGGGACGGTGCGGACGGCGTAGGACAAGTAAACGCCCCACAGCAGGAACAGGAACTCCGCTGAAACACAAATAACGGCAGGTCGTCATGTTTCCTCTTTTATCCGACTCCCGTTGTCATTTACTGCTGAGTTCAACAGGCTAACATGTAATAACTGGACATTTTCAGGGTTCAACTCCTTTGCTTTATTTCCAAGAGGAAAATGAATGAAATAGTTAATAATTTCTCTAAAATGAATGAGAGGACGGCACAGTATTTGTTTAATTTCTTACCCCCAGAGAGAAAAATACTTTTTTCTTAATATTTAATCATTTGTCAAAGTGCTGAATTTGACTTTTTTTTTTAAATATCTGAACTAAAATCATACGCAATGGTGTTATCATTTAACTAATCTATTTAATGACAGTGAAGTACTCTTGGCTAAATAAATAACTGTGATTTACCATGCTTGTACTATCATTATATTACTTGCACTGCATTATTCCATGGATGACATCTATAGGCAATAAGGTAACTGCAGGTTGTCAGAAGTGACAGATTCTGTCAATATGTTACCTTTTTTTTGCAAAAAGAACAAAAACACATAGAAAAAACCCAATGCAGACATATTATTATGCCACCAATCCACCCCATACTTGTGTTCTATGTAGTTTATTTCCATTACTGTGCCATCAAAAGTAATTAGAACTTTTTTGCGCACTACTAAAGCATCATTAGCTGTTCTCCCGCTGTTGTTTTGAGGCAGGCGAAGTTTCCTAATTTCCGTTTCTTAATCCCAAACTTCCTCGGGGGGAAAAAGAATACCAATTTGAATGCACCGCATTGCACGATGGGGGCTTATCATAGATCCAGGGGCTCACTACGCTCCTGGTGCCAGCGAGGGGGAGTAAGTAGTGCATGAATGTGAGAAAAAAACTGATTTATACTGATGAATTACAGTTTCCTCCTGTTATTTGATAACTCACAGGGGCACATTGGTAAATTGAATGTGTGGGAGGGGGAATTTACCAGTAACCTGCAGACATTATGGCCCCTGCTGTTTTTAATTAACTCAAATATGTAGGCAGATTTCCATACAGTGCTAAACAAACAGGGATTAAGAGGATGATGCTCATCTCTCTGTCACACCTGCAGCTGACAGTGTTGGCCGTGTGGTTTCACTTGTCTTTCCTTCTAATTTTGCAAGACTTTCGCCCTGTGTGCAGTGTGTCCCCCCCCCGCCCCCCCTTACTGAGCAGGTGCGTCTTCTCCAGGGTGCCGACAGCTTTCCACGATTGTCTAATCCCACTTAAGTCACACTACATGACAAAAGTGTATCCTAAACAAAAAACAGCTACAGTGGGGGGAATAAGTATTTGACCCCTTGCTGATTTTGCAGGTTTGCCCACTTACAAAGAATGCAACGATCTCTATAACTTTAATCACATGTACATTCTAACAGTGAAAGACAGAATCCCAAAGAAAATTCCAGAAAATCACCTCATATGAATTGATAAAAAATTGATAACCATCTGATGAGGAAAAATAAGCATTCTTTGTAAGTGGGCAAACCTGCAAAATCAGCAAGGGGTCAAATACTTATTTCCCCCACTGTATGTGTGTGTGCACAGGTAGCTTCAGTTTATAAGTTGCCACCAACTACGGGGTGTTTAACCATGAATTGGGATGCGTCTTTCTCCTCCTCTCAAGTCCTGTTGGTGGAAAACTCTCTCTGCATGGTCGGCTACATCCCCCCGTAAGCTTCATACTTCACAGGCTCCCTTCTTCCAGTTTTTTTTCTACTTTCTGCCACCACCGTTCACTTCATCTGGCTGTCTATCTAGTTTTTTCAGCGGCAGACCGAGCCTCTCCCCGGGATCCGTCCTTTTCCTCTCCAAACAGGATTAGCCCCCCCCCACCCCTCCCATGCTGTCAGACAGGCTCCAGTGAGGTGCACATCACTGCCTCCCGCTTTGAGAGTGTGTCATTTGAAAGCCGTACGGTTACACACATTCAAGGCCATCTGGGCCTTCGGGGACAGCGGGGGGGGCAGAAACTTCTTAGCATTCCAGTTGCGCTTTTCTGTAATTAGGAGGACGGTATGCATTGAGGTCAGAATGACACTACATTGATGGGAGATGGGGGGGCTTTTTGGTAGAGAATAGTTTTTTACCTCTCAGGGTGCAACAACAAATCTGGATTTGAAAGTCGAAACTGCAAGTTTTCCTCCTAAAGCCAGCTTTCCACCCTTTAAAATGTAAAAAGACTGAAATTTGAGTCCAGTTTAGCAAATAATAATAAAAAAAAATCAATACATCGCGTTCACAAACTGTTAAGCGAGCGGTGAGTTTCATATGATTGGTGCTGTCCTTCACTACATTACTACATTTATTTGTTATTTTATCCCCTAGAAGGCCGTGAAACTATACGTACATGCTTTCGGTAAATGGCTGGTACAAGTAAATTACTTTAGAGCTGGGCATCCTAAAGACTCCATCTTTTTTTCCCCCGTTGTTAACAGGAAGGCCTATTTATCAAATTGCTTTTAGGAGAAACACTCAGGCAAGGAAATGTGAGCTTTAAGATCCACAAATATCCCCAAAAAGTGGCAGGGCTCTGTATGAACAGAACTTTTACAGCTTGGGAATAGCTTTAGACAAAAAGCAGTGTATATGGAAGCATTTGTGTGTTTTTAGGTTTAGGTTTATTCATCTCAAACAGGATATTCATCATTTAAGAACCAAGATTTCAGTAGCACTTACTTAATTAATCAAAAAAAAGAAGACAAATACTCTCTGAGACTTATTGGAAATTTAACATCCAGTTCAAGAACTTGTTTGCCACCCATAAAGGATTATCAAAGAGAGTCAGGTCCGTTTGGGCACAACGGAAAATGCCCACGAGTCACCGAAAGCTTAATTCCTCGACGTCTGATGTTATTTATTTTTCTTTATTTAAAGAACAGAAGCTTTTAAACAGATGTGACAGGGCAGCTTCAGGCTCATCTATTCTCATAAAAGCAATCTAGACTGTGCTGGTCCTTTTCCCAACTGGAAGCATAATTTCCAACATTTACTGGGAGGTTCATACACTTTGCTAACCCTATCTGACAAAAGTGAACATAAATGGATAGCCACAGTTCTTTGCTGATGTCTTTCCTCCTTGGGGTTCAAAACTGAAAGCTCCAGGTGAGCCAACTGTTCTCACGCTGGATGATTATCAGCCAATCGAGCACATTTGATTAGTTATTCGCACGTCCTCGTTTCAGGTGTCAACACCCTCATTTCTGAGTCACTTTGAACAGGGAGGGGACATCTCACAGTGCCAAATTCAATTCAGGACGTGTTACCTCCCTTTGCTGGTGTGGCTCGAGGTGGAAAGCAGGGAAAAAGCAACAGCAGACGTGCCAGCCAATCAAATCGCCCGAGTAATCCTGTTTGTGGTGATGTCATCGATCATCGCTACAAATCCAAATGTCAAACCCAACCACCTTTAAGGCCCCACATCTGTCTAAATCCTCCCAAAGGGTGCGCTTTTATTGACTGTTTCTGCATTTTGACTCAGGTTTTGTTCCATGAATAATCACACTCTGTCAAATGTCTTGTATTGTTGTTAATATGAGGTTGTTCTGAGGATCTAAGGACCTTTTCAAATGGTGCATACATATTTCCTTATGTCACATGACTCCGACAGATAGGGGATTTCTCAAACTGGAAGTGTTTCAAATTTCCAAATAAGTCCCAAATGAGGAATTGGAGCTAAAAGTGGCCATCTGAAAAATAAAATGTATGTGTTCTGTGTTTTCCTAACCATTTCCAGGAAAAAAAAACTCCTTTGTTCTTCTTAGTATGATAGTATTTTGTTTTTCTTCTTTTTTTCCAAATTCCAAAGTTACTTGTATGTGTCAAGAAAAAAGGGTCAAACTGAGTTTGACAAAGAGATGTGTGCCGAAGAGCCACTGGGTGTATTGGGAGGCGAATGAAAAAACTAAAAATATAACAAGGCCAAAAAGAAGATTTATAGCTGTGCTGAACTTTTAGGTGGTTGGTTTGATGGAAGATAAGGCGGAGGACATGAGGAAAAGGGGAAAAGAATGATTCCCCGTGGTGGAGAGTGGCTGTCGGAAAAAAATTGCCAGGCTTTGGTTCAAATAACTGCTTTTAACTACAATCCTGATGATGAGGGAGTAACAAGTGGTGCCAGGCTTTGTTTTCAAAATAGATCAAAACGAACACATAAAAAATGTATTAAAAAAACAACAGCATTGTAAATTCCAAACAAATGATACCGCATCACATCCACGGACAGATTGCTTTTAAAGGCCTTCCTGCACAAAAACGCTGCCCGCACACTCACCGACGGCCATCATGTAGTCCCACCGGTCAAGCAGACACATGCTGAACTGCAGTCCCTCCGGGGTGAGGCCCGCGGCGATGAGGGCTCGGTTCAGCTCCGGGTTCTGACAGACGGCCGAGGTCCAGGCCACCAGAAACCACAGCACCACCAGCAGGATGACCGCCAGCAGACGCAGGACGCGCCAGCTGGTCATGTAGGGCGTCCTCTGGGCCGTGCGCGACAGGAAGACTTTCAACACCCTGAGCAGGAGTGGGAGGAGGTTAAACCTACTGCAAATGTTCAGGATTTGTAAAATCTCATGAAACATAGAGGAAAGGAATAATTAAAGCATTTTTTAAAAAGGCTGGAAATGGACGTGGTTTTAGAAAGAAACGGCTGGAAGAACATGTTGAAACTTAAAGATTCTGCCATGAATTATCGGATTTTCAAGAAAATGAAAGAGTATTCTGAAAAAAAAAAGAGCACCTTAAAGAGGCAGAGTCTCAGACCTAACAAGGGGTGGAGCCTTGGTGAGACGCAAATGCTTGCATGTGTCACGGCCATAAAGAATAATGTTCTTAAATATGAAGTTGCAAATATTTTGAATATAGCAGAAGCTACAGTAGATGTGGATATAATGTTGGAGAAATCAACACAGGATGATCGTGACCCTCTGACACCGCTGTGGTACTGGATCAAATACAGACATGATTCTGTGAGTGTAATCACCGCGTGGGCTCAGAAACACTCCCGGGTCATTCACAAACACAATGTAAGCACAATATACAGAGAGTCTTACATATTTTAAAGGGAAAACTGAGGTCAGATGAACCCAAACTGAAAAATCGTTACCGGGCCTGGCCTCCGTGCTGTCCAGAGTTTTTACAAACTAAACATTGTACTTAAAAAAAGACTAAATAGGATTATTGCGTAGCTACAGTCCTAAAAACATTCCTGTCTTAATGGGTCTAAAAAAATGCTTTCCTCGGCGCTCAAATGTTTACGGACGATGAGCTCCAAGCCATTTTCAGATTTTTCTTAAACTGGGGATCTTGTGGTTTCCTTGCCTTATTAGCAAATCAACTTTAAAACGTAACATGCGATAGGAGAGGTTTGCGGTATTGCTGTTGTGCATAGGAGCGAAAATAGCCTATAAATATTTGATAATCGGCATCTAGAACATGCGGTAGGAAAGCAGCCACTGCTCAGTTTTTCAGTCTTCTGTGCTCATCACTTGCAATCTCTCTGGACTGTGACAAATCTATCTCATCTCTTATATTCAGCGGGACCAGGCATCGAGAGCCTGGCCCCGAGGCACATTTCCCCATCCATCCAGTCCAGAAGAAGAAAAAAAAAAAAAAAAAAAATCGAATTGGTAATTTTGCCGAGAGAACACACTCAGGCCGGCGCTTTGACCTCCTCGCCCAATCTCGGAAACACTTTGCTCGGGGCTGCGGAGCGGGGAAGCTCTGAGCCGCGTGTGTGTGTGTGTGCGAACAGGTGATTTAGCGAGCAGACAAAGAAATGCCAGACCTGTGTGGAGGTCAAACGTGCCTATGGGCCAAACTGAGGGGGCTGAATTACTGAAACTGAGAGCGGTTCACTCGTGAGAAGAGGAGGGGAGGAAAAAGAAAAGGGGGGATATCTTATTTGAGGCTTTTGAGATTGGCAACTGGAGCTAATTCGGAGGGGAAAATGGTGCATTACCTGTACAGCTTGAGGATGATGGTGCCGTAGACGATGGAGAAGCCCAGGAGGCGCACCCACCTCAGCAGGATGCACCGGAACACGCTGGGATTGAAGTACAGGATCATCACCTGCAGAGAGATCCGGCGGGGGTTAGCCGCAAACACACGCCCGCCTTTGTTTTTTCTCGCCTCGCAGGGGCTGTGGGGTTTGCCGTAATAGGACTAAAGGTGCGTCTCCAGCGGGCGGGGAGCAGAGCTCGGAGGCAGGTTTGGCCTCGCTGACATCTCCCGCCTCCACAGCTCCCACAGTATGCTGTTCATGTGTTAGGGCCTGTTCAGAGTGAGTCTGACTTAGCTCCTATTTTTGTTTTTAACTTTGGCTATGTAATTCTAAAACTGAGGCTGCGGTTTGTTTTCATGGACCCGGTTATTTAGCCTAGGTTTGAACAGGGCCGGGTCTAGGCAGGGGCAAGAGGGGGCCCGGGCCCCTCAAGTAAATGTTGTGAAATTTAAAAAAAATAAGCTAAATCCCCCAAGACTTATTATTAAATGTACAAGGCGATGCCATCTTCTCCTATAGGTCCTTGGTTCTGACACAATCTGGACTCTAGGTCTTCAACATCTTCCACAGAAAGAACACGAAGGCCTAAAACCCTGGATTTATTTCAGGAATCCATTGTTTAGCCAGCAGGGTGAGTCCCAGCTGTACAAAATGCAGCCCCCCTGCAGTTTTTATTTGGGTAGGAGAGATCTCGTCAATGGAGTTTAAAGACTGGCCGACCAAAGCCATGGTTTAAGTTTGTAGGATTCAGGGGGAAAATGCAGAGAAAAGCTCCGAGATGCAACAGGACAAAGACAGCAGGCAAAGGGGGCAGCAGGCAGAAGCAGGTCTGCTTCTCACTGAGAGCCAGAAGAAGAAGTTACAGGGCATTTAAAAAAATATACTAATTTCCTTGTGCCCCCGCTCAATAGCCTGTGCACTGACCCGGCCCTCCCAAGAAAGAAAACCTGGCCCCTGGCTTTGAAATAAGGGCCTGAATTTGGTTATAGTTCATAAATGACTGCACTTATGAAATGATTTTCCTCCAGATGTAAAGTCCTTCTCCCTCACTCCTATCTAGCCATAAACCAGAGGCATAAGGGACAGCTCTGCTCTTGCATGCAGATCTGTAAAGATCAGGGTTTTCATTCGCACTTCTGATGCGGCTAAATTAAATTCTGTTCTTTCTGTTCGGGCAGGACGCCGCGAGTCAGATCTGTGCCGACACGAGCGCAACAATCTGCTCCAGAGATGTCTGTGCTTAAGTGCTTTGTGAGGGAGGACCACTTCATCCGAAAGAGCCTCGCCTTTGCCCAAGACAAGGGTTAGAAACGGTATCCACCCTGGCCCACTATTTCGAAGCTGAGGACAAGCAACCGGTATTTACTTTGAATTTGAACTTGGTTATTGGCTACAGTCTGATTCTTAACTCTGCCTTTTGCAATGCAAGGTCCAACACAAGCTACTTTGTTTTCACCAAGCAGATCAATCATAAAAGCTTCGAGGTCATAAAAGACCCAGATCAGCCTCCGACAGATCTAGCTCATATGAGTCAAAGACGCAATTTGCTAGGCCTCAAGCCACATCTCCAGCATGGGGAATATTTTGGAGGAGGTGATGTGTGAGCCATCAGAGAGACGTTAGCACCAACGAGGGAGCGAGAAGACACAGAAGTGCCGGATAGCTGATGGAGTAATACAAGAAATAAACCACCGTGAGAGCCTTTCAAGAAGTGGTGATGAGCCAGTAGTTTAAGGGATATCCTGTTTACTTTAAAGGGACATGTTTAGAACTGTTCTTCAGCAGATTTACAACAAAGGAGCGCGTTTTTTTCTTATTTCCTTTCCGAATTAGGGTTGTCTGACGTACCCAGGAGTCAGTGCTTCACGCGCCACAGACGGCTAACCGTTTAATGAGGCAGGCAGGGGAATTGATGGATGGCTATACTATGAGCTACTGAAACGGTGGCGGCAGGGGAATGACTTTTACCCAATTTAACTTTGGTAGCAGCTTCGAGCAGACGCTATATGGTGTGTCTGTCTGCAATGCTCCACTTTGATCTACAAGACGTGTTAAATTGCCACTTCATTTTCATTTTGCTGAGGAACATCTGGGTTGTGGCGTAAAAAAAAACAACGTTTCCATTTAAAAGTCTAGAAGAGTCACCTTAATTCTAAGCAGTGCCCTTGGAGTTGTGTTTTGACAGAGCTTTTACTGGGTTTCCTTTGTTATTCTACGCTAGGATTGTATCACATAAAGAGCGTTCCTATTCATAAGTGTCGAGAAGCAGGCCTGGGTTCCAAATTGGCAGGGATAGGACGCTAACCCAGAGCTTTTTGCACCACTAATGATGAATGTATCTGTGTTGAAGACTTTTATGCCTTCTTTGAGGTAGATATACGAGATGTGTTTTTCATCCAACATGTCAGAAAGGGATAATGGGTGTGTGAAGTGAAAACACAATCGTTCTATGGATGTAGACTCCACACACTGAGACTGCACAGGAGCCGCAGAAGTGGAATCTATTCCATTATCCATTTTTTGTAGCATGGCATATAGTGGATAGTACATATAAGGTACCATGTACTCATACCACTACTTCTGTTCGATTGCAGTTTAATTACATACACTCACATGTGTTTATGTACATATCTATCTATCTATCTATCTATCTATCTATCTATCTATCTATCTAT